AGTGAACACATCCAGACAGATGGAGCACAGGAACTGATCTTCAGATGGCAGATAGTTTGCAGCAGCCATATCTACTCAAAGAGTGGAAGAAAAGAAACACATTTAGTTTTAAACATTCGTTTGAATAGAAACCAGTGTGATTACCGTTCTTATAAGTATAATTCCGTGTTCACACCAAACGTGGCGCGAATTCATCTGCCGCGTATTCGCGTCATTCGCGCCGCCGGTCTCGCCGGGGGCCATTTGTGTTCATTCGCGAATCGCGCCGGAGAGGGGGCGTGGCTTATCGCGCTGAAAGCCGTTCAACTGTCCGCCATTAACCATGGAAAAAATAACCCCTATTTCTGCTTAGTACGTCTTGTGGAAGTCGCAGATATCCCGGGTAACTAAACGCCGTCATGTCTGGTTCATAATATTGTCTAGAGGAGCTCTGTGGATTTTATCGAAGTGTATTCACTGTGTCTAGCAACCCACAAGTCGCTGTTTACTACAGCTGTATGAACACAAAATACACTGATTTGGCTGTGATTTAACGGCAATAAACCGACAAAAGGGACTCCGAAATAACTACGTAATGATGCCGATTTATACTTGTCTTCTCCGACAAAAAGGGACTCCGAAATAACTACGTAATGATGCCGATTTGTAGGCTACTTGTCTTCTCAATGGAGCTCGGATGGATCGGTGCTAGGCTAAGCTAACATTGTAGCAGCTCCACCAACACTCAGAATAACGTCATCTAGACATAAATACGGCAGCGTCTATTCATTGTTTTTACCATATGGTTTACACACACATTTATACACATAGTCTGGTCCGGTCTCTATTGATATGAGGTATCGTAGAGCTCTGGGTGAACACAGACGGCTACAGTATTTATTTCCTGATTCAACAACGGCAGGAAGTCGCGTCCATCGCGCCGCGAATTCGCGTCAGCCGCGCCGCGCCATCGCAAATTCGCCCCGCGCCAGTCTCATCGCGTCTGTGCATAGACTTTGTATGTAAACACAAGATATTGGAAATGTTGTAATCATCCAGAATATCTCCACTTCCTGTTGTGTAGACGGCATTTTGTTAAATTCTAGCAGTTTACCTGATGACAAACGCATCACATTTCAAAAGCTGCTTCACATTAAAAGCCTCATACTGGTTCTCTGGTGGAAGGCTTTTAATGTGAAAGAGCTAGAGGAAGCGATCAGTGAACAGTAATAACAGCAGGAAAGTAGCAGTGAGACTAAAGTTCAAAACACAGAGATTCAGCTACAAGTTGCTAAAGTCCTGAGACTGTTCAAAGCTGTTAAAGTGAGTTACTGTATAGTGGGACTGTGGACAAACAGACAGTTATATTGTGAACAATTGATCAAGTATGAAGTGAAAAGAGTGGAACTTCCTGCCTGAGTGAAGTTCCAGTTTTGTGTTAATCCTGGTTGTTGAAAGTGTAAATATGATCAGCTGTACTCACCAGTGTTTGGAAGAGACTCTGCTGTGTTGTTGAGAGAAAAACAGAGACTTGTCTTTACTGCAGTGCGTCTGCCACTCTGACAACTCTACTTTCGTTTCTGGAGTGTGACGTTGTAGCTCCGCCTCTTATTAACTGGTGAGGTTTTGTTTCCTGCCTCTGGTTTACATAGAAATTGTCGGGGAAAACAAAGTTAATGAGGAGCAAAGGTGGTGCTTTATCTAACAGGTGGGAGGAGTAAAGCATGTGAAACGGTGTTGCTTACCTTAGTTATGTGTATTGGAGCTTTGAGGGGCCTCAGCTTTACTTTAACCAGAAGAGTTTAGTTTATTGAACTCAAATAAACTAAACGCCACACATTTCTGCAAAAATGTCAACACAATAATTTTCCATTGGAGGGACGCTCACCGCCATTTAAACCCACAGATACATATTCACTGAATAATAGCTGACACAAATATTGTGAATATGACAGGACATTAAGTTGTTTAACTTCTGGGTGCTGTATTTAAAGTGTGCTACTGAATATCCATTTATTCGTCCACACAGTTGGCATTAATGAACATTAAGTCAAACTGTTTCTTCTTCATGCACCCTGAGCAACGTTGCGCTGTGTCATGCTCTGTGCTCATCATTCCTTTATGTTGTGATCCCTCTAGTGGTCGATCTGTGTCGTTACACCAGTTGGTGATCTACATGGAGGCCCGTTGTCCAGCTGCAGGTTAGCAGGGAGTCACGTAGAAGTAGTCAGACGTGAGAAGGAATCCTCAGAATCTACATTACTCTACATTGTTTGATTATTTTAAAGGACAGGGTACACGATCTCCATGAACCTCCGGGTTACCAACACAATGAGGCCCCCCCCCCCACCGCTGTGGTCATCAGCAGAGTGATTAGTGTTGAAAGAGGTGTCGCATGACCCGGTGTTAGGGCTTAGAGCGCGGCACCAGGAGGTCCGGCGGCACAAGGCTCAACCTAACTGGTGCAGCGAGAGACCATTAGCTCTGAGCAACCATGGCCAGTAGGACCACGAACCCAGGTGAGTGAGTCGCGTTGTGTTGGAGGAATGGTTTCTACGTGCAGCACAGAGAGAGGAGATACGGGGGGATGACGGGGGTCCAGATAAACTCCCGTTATGTGGAAACTTCGTCTCTTATCAGTCGCTGCAAATAAGTCTGTGTCTCTTCTCTGTTTCATTTCAGTTGATGCTGATGAGATTAAGAGGCTAGGAAAGCGATTTAAGAAACTGGACCTAGACAACTCCGGGTCCCTGAGTGTGGAGGAGTTCATGTCCTTACCTGAGCTCCAACAGAATCCCCTCGTGCAGCGAGTTATCGACATATTCGACACCGACGGAAACGGGGAAGTCGACTTTAAAGGTGATTTTAAATTGTTTTCCCTCCTCGCTCCGACATGTTTTACTACTGACATCAGTCCTAAGGATGTGCTATGATGGTCTGCTGCCTTTCATCTGCTTTCATGATTAAATACTAATATTCAAATCCACAACGAGCCAGAACGACAAGTCTGACATGTTGTGCCTAAATGGGAGCAGTTATAACAACTATAACAGCATTATTATACATTTTACTTTTATAAAACATTAATAAAAACGTTTTTTGGGGGGTCGCTGATGTGGACAAAAATCATCTAAAGTTGGGGGGAAAAAGGAGGTCGCTTTAGACAAAAGCAACCGCTAAATAAATGTAATGTAATATAAAAATCCAATATTTCCATAAATTATTCCTGTTCATTCATTTGCAACGTTGCTCACAAAGATCTAATAAAGACAGAGACATAAATGTAGTGGACGGAGTAAAAAGTACAATATTTCCCTCTGAAAAGTACACGGAACAAAATGTAACCCTTTTGTTTTTGCTCCAAATAAGTTGCCCAAATAAGTTGCCCAAGGCACACCTGTGTAATAATCCTCTTGATGCCACACCTGTCTGGTGGATTGATTATGCTGACACAGTTAGTTTGTGACCAAAATTTGAGAGAAGAAAGACTTTGGGAATAAGAGTTATTGATACAAAGTAGAACAAAAGGGAAATACTCTTGTACAAGTACCTCACATATGTACTTTAGTACATGACAGGAGTAATTGTAGTGTCTGAATGTCGGCCTCGGCGTTATAATTTCTTCTGTACTTTTCCCAACATATGATCAGATTTGTTTACAATTTAAATCTAACATTTAACAGAAAACGTACGTTTAAGACTTTAGCGGTCTTAAGACGTTTGTGTTAAAATCAGTTTCTTTCTTCATCTGAAGATTTACAATAATTAAAAAGATATGCTCCATAGAAAGTAAAACTCTTTCATTGGTTAGTGGGCCGTCTTGAGATTTATTTGCATAACAACCCCATCATAGCGTGTTTGGCTTTTGGTATAAATCATATTTATTATCTTAACTGCAGTTTTTAACTGATGTCGTTGTTTTCTGTTCTTCGGCAGAGTTCATCGAAGGAGTCTCCCAGTTCAGCGTCAAAGGGGACAAGGAGCAGAAGTTGCGTTGTAAGTGTCGGCCATTCATCCGTTTTCATCGCATCTCTTATCATTAATAGACTCAGTTATGTTCACGAGAAACGTCTGCCACAGAAGCTTGATTTGTTCCAGTCAGATGTCTGAGAGGACTTCTGTGTCTGAATGGTCTTTCATGCGTTTAGTTTGTAGGAAGTCCTCTTTTACAAATAGATGTTGCTTTGTATCATGGAGAACTAAACGCTGCACAAAGAGACAGAGATCCCCTGAGCAACCGTTGCAACATGTTTCATCACACATGGTTGTATATTTGTGCAGACGAAGGCCAGAAGCACCTTTTCTCTTGAAAGTATCATGAGATGAACTTCTCTGTTGACGTCATTCCTCCGTGTCTCCTCCTCTCTGACACCAGTTGCCTTCAGGATCTACGACATGGACAAAGACGGCTACATATCCAACGGGGAGCTCTTCCAGGTCCTCAAGATGATGGTGGGAAACAACCTGAAGGACACCCAACTCCAACAGATCGTCGACAAAACCATCATCAACGCAGACAAAGACGGCGACGGCAGGATATCCTTCGAGGAGTTCTGTGCGGTGAGTGTTGTGATGAATGTCCGTCTCCTTCACCTCCAGAGAGCTTCAGATGCGTAAAATCCTGGCACAACTTGACCTACTTTGAAGAAGCTCGGAGGAAAGTAAATAATCTGAAGACCTCCAGCAACACTTTCAGTATAAAGAACAACTTGAAGGCACAGCCACATGCGTTTACAATGACTGTATTCTTTAAGTGTTGCTGGAGTTTTGGCCTCGTGCAAGTGATACGATTAGAGTGCTGACAGCAGAACAGTAAGTGTGCCGTGTAACATGAACTCAGAGTTAAAAGAGGCTCGAGACCTGGAGTGACACCTCTCCCATTAAACAGTTATTTGATTCATTGTTAGTGTAAACCAAACTAAATAATGTCATTTTAAAGTATGTCAGAAAAAGTCATATTAAACTATGCCATTTAAAAAAAGTCATAGCATAAAATACATCTTCTACTAAAAGGCAATGTGTGTATATCAGAAAAAAGTCATTATGTCATAAATAAAGACGTAAAAAAGTCATAGAAATGTCACAACATTTAGTACCAACATTTGTTGAGATATTAGATGATGATGATGACGCCTCCCTCTTGTCTCCTGCAGGTCGTTGGTGGATTAGACATTCACAAAAAGATGGTGGTGGACGTCTGACAACTTTTTCTTCCTCCATATACTGAAGATCTGCTTGAAGACATCGTCCAACAAAATGCTCAACGAAAGTATTTTCTCTGTGAAAAATCCCCTCCTCTCCCCCTCTCCCTCCCTCCCTCCCTCCCTCCCTGCCATCCCCCCCTCCCTGAGCCTTCTGAAGCCAAACTTTCACCAAGTATTATTGAACAGGAACTCTCTGTGACTCGTCGCACCCTAAAAGCCGACGGACGGCTTTTTTCCCAGCGCAGAGCGACGGTTTCAGTTTGGCGGAGGAAAGCTGGAGTGTGTGCGTGTGCATGTGTCTTTAAGTGTGTATGTGTTCTGTATGTTTTACTGGTTTTTCAAGGTATGTGGGGTTTTTTATATTTATTTTGGTGTCATTGTTTTCTTTTTTTGGAGAATCAAAGGAAGTCTGTCTTAGAGAAAGTAAAGTTCCGTGGGTGAGTGTAGTTAGCGGTGGTGTTACTTGATTTCAGAACAACACAAACAGCATGAAGTGCCAACGAGAATCTCTCGACATGCAGTTGAATTACAGGTAAAAATCGGTGTCTTTATGTTCGAGATGTCATTGTATTATGGAATGCATTTATCTGACTGGAGTATTGCATTATTTACACTTAAAGAACAGCTTCACTTTACACTCGTGTTTGGCTACGTTTAGTCAGAAATACAAGAGGGACGTCGGGCACTACATGTTTCCAAACCACACACTTTGGCTTCATGAGCGTTGATATTCGTTTGCTTTCTTCTTCTTCTTCTTCTTCTTCTTCTTTTTGTGGCACTTTTGTGTTATTAAGCACGACTTAGACGTTGACGTGAACATCGTTTCCAAGTCGGAGAAACCTGTAAGTTCGATAACTCCGACGGGACATGAACGCAGCACACTGCATGAATGTTGAGGAGTAATCTTTAATATATATATATATATATATATATATATATATATATATATATATATATACTTACTTTACATACATGTTTGTAGATTTACTGCAGAAATGTTAATACATAAAACTCTCAGCTTTATGGAATAAGAGTTTTGCCAAGAAAAACGGTTTCATATTTTCTGCACATTGAAATAAAATAAGCAAACGTGCATAAATTCAGATATTTCTCATTTAGTATTTAAATGTTTGCGTTGATGATAATTAGAAACTGTAAAGCCACTGATTGTTGAATAACACGCAGGACCCCAAAAGGTTGGAAAGACTCATTTAAGTAACGTAAATCTGTACAAAAGAAAGAACACAACGCCTGTGAGATTCAGTAAATATCATCGGTACAGGTTTGGGTTATCGGCAGAGACACGACTGTAAGTGATGAAAAACCAAACGCAGTAATGTTCTGTAGTAGTGAACTGAATCTGTGTATTTGCAGCTCGTCTGCGTCTTCATACTCCAAAAATGGCCGTCAAACCGCTCCAAGCTGCTGTGCTCGGTGTTTAGCTGACTGCCGGCTTTATGGACTGATGCGCTGCAAAAAGACTTTTCTACCTGAAACGACTTGTGATGTGTTTGCATGACGTGTGATCTGATCTCCTCTTCTTCTTCTTCTTCTTCTTCTTCTTCTTCTTCTTCTGCCCGTTGCTCTTTGCATGTAGATCAGATTTTATTAAAAGCTTTTAAAGCTTTCTTAAAGCTCTTTTTTCAAAGCTGGTCTCAAAATTTAATGAAATGAGTGAAATGTCTTGCGAATGCAAATAATCTATTCTGCGCATGCTAGTGTACGTGTTACTGGTTTGACCACTTGCATATTTGAATTTTTATACAGTTATACAATAAAATCTACAGTTTTTGGTGCATGTTCAATAGTTAGAAATCATTAAACAATAGCTACTTCAATAGAACCTTAACCCTTAAAAAACAACTTAATTTATCTGTAATAGTTTCATAATCTAAACGTGTGGAAATGGTGTCGGGGTTGTGTTATCAGATAATGTGTTTCATGGTGAGGATAAGTAATCTTAACATTGTTTGTATTTCATTCATTCAGCATTTCACAGTTTTGGCTCATTTCATGAAATTCAGTGAGACCGTGTTGTTTACATATGGTGATAAATAAAACATGAACATTTCAAGCACGTTGATGTTGCCAATAAAGGTTTAAACATGGGAAAAAAACAACCTGTAATCTTAAATGTTTTTTAGTCGCCTGCCACTCGCTCTGTTTTAGGGGGAAGAAATCATGTTTTTGTTTTCTTCACTTTCTTTATTATTTTTATTATTTTTTGTTATTAACAGTTGGTACCCTGCTTGTTTAATTTGAGGTCTGTGCTGAAATGTCTGCTGTTGGTTTAAAGGGATGTTTGTAATGGAGGCAACGTGGATTCAGTCGTAGATTTTCACTCCTGTTTTCATCTTTGCTGCATCGCTGAAACTTCATACATGGAAAAATGAGAAATAAACAGTTTGAAAGTTGTAACAGATGCTGTGAAGTTCTAGTCTCTTCATAAATGTTCCAGGATCTTGACTTTAAAATGTGACTTCCCAACTACGATTAATCATCAAACGTTTACTGAAGAACAATTAGAATGTAGGGTTTTATCTCCGGCTTTTTGTGAGATCAAATCATTGCCGACGTGCACTACTTGGTTATTACCAGCAGGGGGCAGCGTAGAGCTACATGTTAAACCACAAAAAACAATGTAGACAAAAACAAATATTGGCTTATAGCTATTAACATTTTTAAAGGGTAAGTTTTCATCTTACTATAGTTGTGGAAGAAATGTCAACATATTTCATACTGTTTCATATTTAGTACCACAACATTATTGTTTCACCCGGTTGAAGCATCGGATCACCTGATGTTTAAAAGTCATTCATTTCATTCAGGTTTTACAAAATGTCTATATATATATATATATATATATATAAAAACATGTACAGAAACCCTGATCCTCACAGTAACCTCAGTGTAAACATGAATGTGTCGGGTTTACAGAAGACAGACGGAGGGACAAGAGGAGTGAACACCAGTAAATCACTTTTTATGACAATTTAATTACATTCTCTGTAAGATACTCACATTTGTATGACATCCTTTACTTTTTATGACATTTTTTTAACATTATTACATTCTATATTGCCTTTTTTTTTAAAATGTATAACATACTATACTATGACTTTTTAATGACATTTCTATGATACTATGACTATTTTATGACATGAATTCTATGAATTAAAAAAAAAAACCTTTCTTTTGACATTCCATACTTTGACGTTTTGATTACTTTTCATGACAATATGACTTTATTTAAAAAAATGTAACGTACCTTACTATAACTCTTTGACAAACTATACTCGGACATTTTTAAAGAAATCTGTATGACTTTTTTTTTTACATACTATATGAGTTTTTGATGTTTTTTTAATCAATATACAATAATATGACATTTTAATGACATATACTATGACTGTTTTTCATGACTCATTTTATTATATACTATGCTGACCTTTCATGAAATATTTTGAGATATACTAGTTTTTGTGAAAAACTAAACTTTGACTGTCATTGATGACTGCTTTATGACATACTATGAATTTGTTTTGGACTTTTGTTTTACTATGATTTCTGTAACGAACTATACTTTTATGATAAACTATAAGTTTACTTTTTTAATGACATACTATCTTATGACGTTCATACTAACTTTTTATCACATTTTTTTGTAAAATACTATTCAATGAATTTTTGTGACATTTTCTATGACCTACTCTAATGTGACTATGACTTTTATTTTACATACTATACTATGACATATGATATGAACAGCTGTGCTGTAGTATGGCTTCTTTTATTACATACCATACTATGAATATATATGAGACTATCATGACATCATACTATGCCTTTTTTGTGACACATCACTATGTTGCTACATTACATATCAAATATGTTTGGCCATACATAGTAATAATTATTCATTATTAGTTTGTTGTAGCTGTATGGATATTTACATGATAACTTCTGAACTCTCTGGGATGATGATTATTTTGGGATGACACAGTCTGATCTCTTAGATTTAAATGCAGAAGCATTTAACTGCTCCTTGGCATCTGGTTCTACTCTTTAAATAGACCTGTACTCATTGCTTTAGTTGCTGTTTGTTTGTCCGGCGACGTTAACGTATCGAGGACGTCAGCAAACGTCTTTAAAGTGAAACCTGTGCTGCTCTTCATCAGTGTGGATGTCGTCTGTAAAAGCTGGAGGCACACCAACCTGTCCTCTCACCTGTCACTGGGGGGGGGGGTCATCCAGAGTTCAGGGCACCTCTCAGGTAACTTAATTTCACCTGCAGGTAAGTGTCGACTGCAGCCGGTAAAAGGATCTGACATAAACACTTTCGGCCATGTTGTTGTAGGCATCAAATGACACACACATAGTGTGTGTGTGTGTGTGTGTGTGCGTGCGTGTGCACATTTAGCTAATAAAATAGCCAACCTTGAGCTCCAAAATGTGTCTGTTTGGTCTTGTTAACACTTAAACTGATTCTATTAAAGCTACATTGAATCCTTTCTGGACACTAGGGGGCAGGAGAGTTCCACATCAGGCGGACAGACACTAGTACTTTACTTGAGTCTTTCCTTCTCTTGTTACTTTCTCCTTTACTGTATTTATATGGTAGCTTTAGTTTGTTTACAACTATTTATTTTTTCAGATAAATGCATATTGAAAATAATTATTTTTAATCATTCAAAATGACTTCCACCTCAAACAACTACTACAGTAAAGTCCTGCTTTCACATTAATGCACGATTAAAAATCTAATAAGTAATAATATATAATAGTATAACAGTCACAGTGACGTTGTTATACTTTAAAGTACATTTTCCTAAGTTATATTTTCAACGCAGGACCTGTAACAGAGTATTTTTACAGTGTGGTATTTGTACTTTTAATGAAGTAAAGGATGTATTCTTCCTCCAGCATTGTCAACCGCATCAATCAGGTGAAAAGACGATTTGGCGCAAAGTTAGATTTCAACTTGCTCAACTAGCTTTGTGTTGCAGCTAACCCACGGTGACGATGAGATTCGATGTTAACAGCATGACGATGCAGGTTAATAAGTTATTAAAAATGATTTGGATTCATTACAGAGGATCTCTAAACTAGCTGCTTTTTGCTGTTTGTCTGGAATCTGATTTATTAACATGAATTTAAACCTTTCAGTCTGTCAGAGCTGATGTCTCTGAAATGGGCTGCTGTTGTAATTAAATAAAAAACACTACTTGGCAAAGAGAACCGTCAGAGAAACTTCCTTTACAAATGGAGTAAAGTGAATCCTGGAGGATACGTTCGGGACAAAGGCAGCGTGATTAAACCGAGGCAGATTACATGTGTGCGCCTGTGATTTTGCGGCAGCGTGCTGGACTACAGTTACACACCGGTCTGCTGATAACGAGGCTCGGTTTACCTGGCGGGACGGTGTATCTGCTCCATCAGACGGCTGCCAGACTGGTAATGAAGAGAGCTGACGGGCCCGACCGGACCACCGGACCGCAGGTTAGCATTCAAAGTTTATGTTGAGATCATAAAATGATCCATTGTTGTTAAATTAGCTTCACCTCCATGAAATACAACATTAAAGTACAATAGTAATGTAAAATACAACACTAAAG